TCAATTTGACACATGCTGTGGTCCCTCATTTCCTCATCTGGGTGAATTCTCCCAACTCCGTGAAGATTCAACATCTCCATTTATTTGACTGCAATGTTGATTTAAGGATAACATCTTGATTCATTTGATTGCAAAGAATTAAAGGAACTTCTGTGGAACTTTTCATTCCAAAGTCTTTGTCATTTTATTCATTTCAACTTTTAGGGGGTGATTTTGGAAGCTATTGGCATTTTCAAACTGTGAAACCTCATATTTTGAGCTTACTTTAATCCTGGACTTCTCCTTAAGACTTGTTCGTTCCTGTCTGATCTACAATCTTCTTCACAATTACTCCCCCTCAGCAGTGTCTAGCAGCCAACAGACACTAGTGTTTCTCTTTTCAACTATTTCCCCTAGAGCTAGTTGCACTAGACACCTGGTCTCCCTTCGAGATTCTTGAAGCCAGTCCTTTTTATGAATCATTTGGTTACAGGAAAACAGGCTCTCTGGCCTTCTAGCTATCTACCACCCCAGTGCTAACTCAATGCCAAGTACTTACTTGTTTTTTGGGGTGGGGTGGGGTGGGGGCGGGGATCCTGCTTTTAAAGGGATAATGTTAGGACTTAGAATAATATTCTAATTTTCCATGGACTGAATTGTAGGTTTCCACTCTTCTTTTATCTAAAAATCCAAGGCAAACCAACCAGATACCACGCTGATTGACGCTTTGTTTTCAGTGTGTGGCTTCTAAGTTTGCTTTGTCTATCAGTTTCCAGCTAGCAGAAATCACGAGCAAGGAAATATCTATAAAGGAAAATTTGGTAGCTAGTAGAGCTGACTGTTTTTCTACATGTCGGTATTGTGACTGAATCTCACTACAAAAAATGGCTGGGACAATAATCTGGCTGTAAACTCAGGAAAAACAGAAACAGAATCTGATAAACAGCGTTAGTAGTTTCTAATACACTATCCTAAAGAAGAGAGGAGTTTGGTTCCCTGATATGACAAGATGCTCCAAGGTAGATAGCCCAAGTTGATGGACCGTCACTACGATGACAATAAAGAGGCTCTGTTTTCTCCTCTATCCAGGCCCCAACTTAGGAAAACTGTGAGCTCTCATGAGATTTCTAAAACCTAAGTTAAATGACCATTATCACCAGCAAGGGAAGCAGAGAAACTGAATGCTTTAAATAGTCATATTGTCATTGTGATTAACATCAGTTCAATTAATAAGTATGAAAGTGAACGGACATGAGGAGATAATTATCAGTGTCTCTCTGCAAGGCTAATGTGATTACATACTCCAGGAAGACACTCCTTACCTGGAATATACCTCTTTTTTCTTTCAGAAAGCAGCATATGAAACACTCTTTGGGAAACACTAAGAAATATTTATTTGAAACAAGTTGGTGACCTACCCCTTGGCTAGAACACAGCAAGCAATGAATGAATTTTTATTGAAGTAGATAAATGAATAAGCAATGCTCTGGTAAACCTGTGTGAACAAAAGAATTCAAAGAAGAAGCCCTCACGACACTGACTAACACATGTTTGTAAAGCCCAGGATATCTGCTGTCTGAGATACATGGAGACATGTTGTTTTTGTGCACTGTGTAAAGTTTATCCTTGTATTGTTCAAATGCTGCCCTCATATCTTGTTTCAATCCATACATGGCTTTGTTATGCTTATTCTTAAAAGCTCCTGTCTCAAGTTTGTGTAAACACTGCTCCTCATTCATTCTCTGCCTGGCCAGTAAAAGCCAATGAGCCAATACAAAACTTTAGAGAGCGAAAAGGTGGGACTTCTGATTCTAGAAGAGAACCAGAAAGAGAAAGAGTGAGAAAGGTTGGGGAAAGAGAGAGGAAGAGGAGAAGGAGAGATGAGGAGGTTCTCCAAACACCAGGAGAAGAGAGATGGGTCAATAAAGGATGGACAGTTTCAAGTGAGATAGGAATATAGTCTAGGAGGAAGCCTGACCATCATGAAGGTTTAGAATAGAATAATGATTGCCCAGTATTTGGCTCAGGGCAATTTTAATAAATCTTAGTCTCTGTGATTACTGTGTTATTGAGGAATTAGCTGGTTAAGAAATATAGTCACAAGATTACTTCACTGTTTACATTTATATTAAAGATAGTTCCTTTTACACATCATCTTTCCTCAGTATTCTTTATGAGGTACTTGTCCTCAGATATCCACGGTTTTGCATTCCTAGAGACTACCCATTAAAAAAGCTAATAAACTCGTGTTGGTTTGAATAAGAATGTCTTCTGCAGGCTCATATATATCAATGCTTCATCATCAGGGAGTGGAACTACTTAAAAAGGATTAGGTAGTATGGTCTTCTTGGAGTAGGTGTGGCCTCGTTGGAAGAAGTGTGTTACTGGAGGTGGGCTTTGAGGTTCCAAAAGCTCAAGCCAGGCCCAGTAAAGTATTCTCTTCTTACTGCCTGTGGATTCAGGTATATAACTCTCAGCTACTTCTCTAGCACCATGGATGTTTAGATGCCACTATGCTTCCTATAATGATAATAGACTAAACCATTGAAACTATAAGCAAACAACAATTAAATGCTCTCTTTTATAAGAGCGGTCATGGTCATAGTGTCACTTCATAGTCATAGAACACTGACTAAAACATAGTTTGTAGCAGGATAGTGAGGTAGTGTTATGACAGAACTATGTTGCTTTGGGAGGATTGTAGAAAAGCCATTGAGTGTTGAGAGCTCAGTCAGCTGGTCTTTAGAAGCTTGGAAGATAAGAATGTTGAGATCAGTGCAGATAGTGGAGGCCTGGCTTGTGAAGTACCAGAGGGAAGCAGACTCTACTGGGCCTTTTGTGTGATGAATCTGTGGTATCTGGTCAATTGGAGCTGTGTGTCTCTGATTAATGAAAGACCAGAACCACTAAGATAAAACCTTTGCTTTACTGGGACAATAGATACTAGTCAACTGGGGACTACAAATCAGCTGTGGAAAAGAAGAAATCATATCATTGAGGTGATGTCTTCTGGGAAGTGGTCTCTCAGTCAGCACACAGACGATGTATTCCAGAAGTAGCCAAGGTTGTACCTTTTGCTGACAGACGAACTGGATAGTGTAGGAGTCATCCATTTGGTACTGGTTTTAAAGGCATGAAGGGTTGCCTGGAGAACAGCTGAGGCTTAGCACTGTGTGGCAGGTCTAGAGTCCCTAAAGAGAGCTCAGGAGAGGTTATTGATGAAAGTGGAGCCCAGCTGCAGCAGGGGATGATCACCAAGAAGAACAGCAGCTGTGGAGTGGAGTTGGCCCAATTCTAGAAGAAAAGCTGTGTGTGCTACAGAAGTCAGAGTGGGAGAGGTGACCCAAGTCCATTGTTGGAGCTCAGAAAGTCATCATGGAATCCCAGATAATTGGACATTGAGTTAAACTGTTAAAGTTTGTTTGTGCTTTGTTCAGACGATGACCTGGTTCTTCCCTCTTGAAAAAAGTATTTAATTTTGATTTTTAAAGATACACATAGCTGAAAGAGTAAATTTTTAAAAGGGAGTTTGAACTTTATTTCTTATATTTTGTAAAAAGTTTAGTCTTTATTTAATAACAAATATTTGTAATATAGCAACAATAAAATATCAAGAACTTAGGATGGCATCAGAAACATAGTACCTCTAATAAAAATGCAAATTACAACTAGTTAACTTTTTCATTGTTTTCTTTTTTTTAATTTTATTTAATCCTTTTTTTTTTGTTTTTACACTCCAATTTTATCCCCTCCTGGTCCACCCTCTGACTGTTCCACATTCCATATCTCCTCCCCCCATCTCCACGATGATGTCCTCCACTCCCACCTCCCATCCCACCAGAGCTTCCTACTCCCTGGGGCCTCCAGTTTCTTGAGGGTTAGGTGCATCTTCTCTAACCGAACTTAGACCTGGCAGTCCTCTGGTGTATATGTGTTGGGGGCCTCATAGCAGCTAGTATATACTGCCTGGTTGGTGGTCCAATGTCTGAGAGATCTCAGGTTAATTGAGAATGCTGGTCCTCCTACAGGGCCGCCCTCCTTTTCAGCTTCTTCCAGCTTTTCCCTAATTCAACCATAGGGGTCAGCAGCTTCTGTTCATTGGTTGGGTGTAAATATCTACATCTAACACTTTCAGCTGTTTATTGGGTCTTTGAGAGGGCAGACATGATAGCTCCCTTTTTGTGAGCACTCCATAGGCTCAGTAATAGTGTCAGGCATTGGGGCCTCCCCTTGAGCTGGACCTCCTTTCCCTCAGGCTCTTCTCTATTTTTGTCCCTGCAATTCTTTCAGACAGGAATAATTATGGGTCAGAGTTTTTGACCGTGGGATGGCAACCCCATCCCTTACTTGATGCCTGTCTTTCTGCTGGAGGTGGGTTCTACAAGTTCCCACTCCCCACTGTAGGCATTTCATCTAAGGTCCTTCCCTTTGAGTCTGGAGAGTGTCTCACCTCCCAGGTCTCTGTTACATTTTGGAGAGTCCCCCCACTTCCTATCTCCTGACGTTACCTGTTTCCATTTTTTCGGCTGGCCCTCAGAGCTTCAATCCTTCCCACCCCCCGCCCCCCAATCAGATACCTGATCATGTTGCCCTCTTCCCCTCCCTGTCCTTCTGTCCCCTTTCCCACTCAGGTCCCTTTCTTTCTTCCCCCTCCTGTAATTATAATTGCTTTCTTCTCCCTTCCAAGTGGGATTGAGGCATCCTCACTTGGGCCCTCCAGCTTGTTAACCTTTTTGAGTTCTGTGAACTGTATCTTGGGTAGTCTGTACTTTTTTTTTTTTTTTTTTTTTTGGCTAATATCCACTTATTAGTGAGTACATACCAGGCATGTCCTTTTGGGTCTGAGTTATCTCACTCAGGATGATATTTTCGAGTTCTATCCATTTGGCTGAAAAACTCAGGATGTCCTTGTTCTTAATAGCTGAGTAGTATTCCATTATGTAAATAAACCACATTTTCTGTATCCATTCTTCTGTTGTGGAACATCTGAGTTGTTTCCAGCTTCTGGCTATCACAAACCAAAAAATATGGAATGCTTCACAAATTTGCGTGTCATCCTTGTGCAGGGGTCATGCTAATCTTTTTTGTACTGTTCCAATTTTTAGTATATGAGCTGCCGAAGCAAGCACAGGACGTTTGAATATTTAAAGAGATTGGATATTTTAAATAGTCTGAACTTTTGAAGTGTTTATAAGGTCTGCAGGACTTTTAAAGTTATTGTGTTTTATATTGTCATATTAATGTTAACATGGCATCTTGGGGTTAAGTGAGAAAGGAAAGGTTCTAATTTAAAAGTGATGTGTTTATGTGACAAGTTGACAAGGGATTAGTTGGCTATGTTTATGTCAACTCGAGTCATCAGAGAGGAAGAAGCCTCAAGTGAAAAAAGTGTCTTGATAAAATTAGGTGGTAGGCAAGGCTATGGGTCATTTTCTTAATTAATGATCTGTGAGGAGGGTCTGCCCTTGTTCATGGGTCCATCCCTGCACAGGTGGTCCTAGGTTCTATTAACAGAACAGGTTGAGCAAGACATGGAGAACAAGCCACTCAAGAGTACCCTATCCAAGACCTTGCATCAGCTCTTTCTATTAGATTCCTGCCCTGCTTGAGTTCCTACCCTCACTGCTTTTGATGAAGAGTTATTATTTAGAACTGTGAGTGAAATAAAACCCATACCTACCCAAGTTACTTCTGGTCATAGTGTTTCACCCCAGCAATGATAACCTTAACCAGGACACAAGTTATGCCTTCTTTTATAAGAATTGCTGTGGTCACAACATCTCTTTGCAGCAAGAGAACACTGACTAAGAGAAAACTGAAAAGAAGAGCATAAAAGGAAGTCACCCAAGATTGGAAAAGAGCATGTCCAGTAAAGGCCTCCAGAATTTAGAAGGCAAGAGGTAGGTCTTTTAATTTTATTTTTAAATTTCTTTCCTTTTGTTGTGTTTCATGTTAGAGATCAGTAAAATGAAAGCCTCAGTAATATTTCTTTGGCTGAAATAGAGTGTGTAAACAATTATTATTAACCTGCCTTGGAAAATTATTAAGTTAAAAATGGTAAATGCCATGACTACAGGCACACCAGGTACGTGCTTTTTAATTTGCTTTGTCTGGTGGTTAGAACAAGGAAGGACAGACATGTGGGAGATAGTTATCTATGCTACTGTCACAGAGGCTGCCGCCGTCAAAGGATGAGGCCAAAACTGCTTCACTGTTCTGCCTTATAAGCCACAAAAGACTTCCTGTGATGTCAGGCAGCCTGCAATAACACAAATGGTGGCCTGAAAAATTCACATGCCTGATATAAGCTGCCATTATCAGGCGATAATTATTCCTTCTTCTGAGAAGTCAGCTTGCCAATCATAGTGACATGCTTTCAGTTTGTTTCAATGGTACACGTTTTCCTTTTGCATTTCTGCAGGAAGAGTCTTTGACAGAGAAAGTTAAGTTACTTTCAGCACCAGCCAGTGCCTTGTGGGAAATGTCTGGCTGTCCCTTTGCAAAGCAGCTCTGCCTCTGAGACATCAGAGAATAAAAATATCTTGACAGCCCTGTCTTCCTTGTTGTGTCCCTGGTGTAATAGGAATGGTGTGGTAAAGGCCCAGAAGCAGGCTGCGACCACAGGAGTCCAGAGCTGTGTGGAATGTGCTCTTGGGAAGTCTTGTGTGGGAGAGGATTTGAGCTAGATGCAGTAGCTAAGGAGGCTGAGGCAAATTGTTCTAAGATTTGTATGAAAAAAAAATATTTTTTCCTAAATTAAAAATTCTCATTGTGAAATTTCTTGTAAGAAAACAGGAAAACATTTTGACTTAGCTTGTCAGAAAACATACAACTTATTTCAGGTTATTTCTTCTTGCAGACTTGTGTTTTAAAAATATAATAGGAACAGAATTAAGACCGGTTCACCATTTACTGACTGGAGTAGTGGAAATGTTGTCTTGGGCAATGGCCTCCCTTGGCATGCTTGTTTCTTCTGAATTGATGGCACTAGTTCCACACCCGCTCCTAGGAACATCCTGAAGTAAGATGTTGCTCCCTCATGGGGACTGAGCTCTGTTACACTCTGCCTTTCTAGGATTCCTTCATATTCAGAAGATAGAGATTTCTTTTTTTTTTCTTTCTGAAATCATAATTAGAATTGGTATGGCATTTCACTTTTTGAATTTTTGCAGGGTATCAGATTTCCTTTTACTTTTGCCTTAGGACTCTGATATTTTGAAGAAATTAAAAGACAGATTACTGGTGATATACATTTACAATTGCCTAAGCTTTGGTTTACAAGTCTACATTGTCTTATTTTGGCTTTTATCTTTTATTCTCTGTGTGTTTGGTGTATGTGTGTGTGTGTGTGTGTGTGTGCTCGAACGTGCGCATGTGCATTCATGTACACGCACAGTATGTGTGCAGAGTTGTGTATGCATGAGTGTGTGTACATACTTGTACATATGTGTGTGTTTGTGCATGTGCACAAGTGTGTACACTCCATACTTATGTGTGAAAGCGCCTTGTTTGAGACAAGGTCTCTTGTTATTCAGTGTTATACATGCTAGAGTATTGGTTCCAAACCTTCCAAGATTCCCTCGTCTCCTGCTCCCATTTCGCTCTAGCAGTGCGGAGTTATAGACATAGATTACTGAGATAGAGTGTTGTGTGAGTCCCTGGGTTATGTACTCATATTCCATTCTTGTGTGGTAACTATATTACCCAATGAGCTATCTTTCCCAGCCACCTGATATTATAAACCTGCTATTTGACCTATGTCTGCCCCATAAACATTTACCTGTATTTAAAAAATACTACCACTGTCCATACCATAGTCAACAGCCAACAACAGGGAAGGACATCCCTACCCTCTCACTACATTCTCTCAGTTAGCAAGAGTGAAAGAATTTTTACCTGTCCAATGCCTTTCAGTCCATTGATTTATTTTCACTAACATAGCTATAGTTTTAGTTGAAGCCACTGTGAGCTGTAACCTGAAACTCTGAAATAGTGTCATTATTACTGATATACATGCATGCCTTGTGCTTTTGGGGCATGTTTTGTAGAGCCAGCATGGTCTTCGATAATATAACTTGAATGTGTAATTGTTTTTCCTAAGATCTTCCAATGGCCTTTCATATAAACACATATTACAGGTTAAAGTCCTTAACATAATCTAACAGTCTTTCATGACTTTATCCCTTTTATGGTTCAGTGGTATGAGGATATTGCTCTTCCATGCTTCTGGGACTTCTATCTTTGTATTCCATTTGTATGGATCTTTTCTTGCCCTCTCCTGTGCTAACCTGACTTCTACATATGCTTTCAAATGCTACTAAAATATAAGAAATTCTTCCTTTACCCATATAGCCTTTCTCCAGATCTCCATTTTATGAGCTTATAGCATCATTCATATGTGCTTGCTCACAGTCCTTATCACAACTGTGATTAGCCAGTGTGCAGGTTAGACTTATGTCAACATGACAAAAACTATAGGCATGTAAGAGGAAGAAACCTAGTTTGAGAAAAGGACTCCATATTTTCTTAATTAGTGATTAATGTGAGAGGGCTCTGCCCATTGTGGGTAGAGTCGCCCCTGGGCTTGTGTTCTTGGGTTCTATAAGAAAGCAGGCTGAGCAAGTCATGAACAAGACAGCAAGTGAACAAGCCAGTAAGCAACACCCTCCATAGCCTCTGCATCTCTTCCTGCCTCCAGTTTCCTGTGCTGGCTTCCTTCAGTGATTGACTACAGTGTTGAGTGTTGACTTTTTTTTTTTTTTTTTGTAAAGCCTAATAAACCCTTTCCTCCTCAACTTGCTTTTGGTCATGGAGTTTGATCACAGCAATAGTAACTAAGATAGATAACTTATAGTTTTTTCCCATTTTTTTCCATTTATATAATGTCAGTATCTGTTTAGTGAATATCAGTTGGAAGAGTCCAGGGCTTCTCTGGATCTTCTTCATTTCTGGACTTTCACGTGGGCACACTGCCTGGAACACAATTTACCCATACAATCTCCATGGGAGAAAGAACCATTCAAGAGAAGTTCAATGCAATGAACAGCCATTCATCACCCAGTGACAATCAGAAATGATTTGTGGACATAGACACTTTCTCTAAGAAATATTTTGGGAAGAGAATCTGACAGAAAAATCAGATTTTCAGTTAACAAGCTAACAGGAGTGGCAGCAATTGTAACCTTGACCTTAAAAAGTCTTGTGACTCACACAGTGGTCACAGTGCTATGGGATTCTGAATCTTCAGATTATAAAGCTCTCTAGAATTTGTGCCTTTTTTTCTGCTAAGTGCCCTGCAACAATTGGGTACTTTGAATCAGTTAAAAACAAACAAACAAACAAACAAACAAACAACCTTTCTTGGATGCCTTTCTTTAACAAATCTTGTACGTTGCATAAGCCTCAGCTGCCCTGGCCTTAGAGAAGTGCCTTACTCCCGTTGATGACACTTAATTGGAACAATCCAACAAATGAGTGTCAGTTTGGGGGCCTGCACAACGTGTCTGCTGAGCGGAGTTTGTTTACACTTTGCCAGTGTCATCATTTACAAACTTCAAAAAACACATTGACAAATTCCCTAGCTGTTTTGGCAGCGTTTCCATCAATCACCCATCTAATAGCACCAACATTTCTCCTGGGCTATTATAGTCACTTCAATCGCTGCTGCTGCAGCTTCAGGAGAAGATAAATCAGAAGGGCTCTTTCAGATGGTCTCAAGTACAGCACCGTTTCTATTAACCAGCACTTCCTTTCTTGCTCTTCTCTCTCTGCCCTTCCTCCAACCTCCATAAACAATCCTTTCTGCTTTGTACTGCCTTAGATAAAGTAAGCTGGATCTATGGCTCTCCTTTTGAGGCCACCCCCACCCCTGCCACGTTGCAACGTCATTGGGTAATGGGTCCATTTATTACTTTGGATTTTTGTGTGTCCTCTCTAGTTACTCTATGCGGCCCTCTCAAATCAATAAGTGTATTGTGTTTCTGCCGACAACAGGTGCCTGGCTTCCCAGGCCCAACACACCCTCTGAGAGCAGCTCACATGTCTAATGACCACAGCAGGAAAACCTGAAACCGTTTTGCTTTTCAACCAGGTTCTTTGTGCTGCAGTGTCAGGCGGCAGCTGGATCTGC